CCTAAAAGCTGTTTTTAATGGAAACAGGATAGTAAAACAGTGTAAAGTTGTGAGCAGTGGATAACTAGCACGGTTAGAGTTATGTTTAAACGCAAGGCTGTTCAGGACAACAAATGCCTGTGCTTGTTATAAATAAAGATCCTTTCCTGAATGAGGCTCTAGAATCAGTTTTTCTGTGACTCCTTGGCCTAGGACAGCTATCAGACTTAGAAACCAGAATTACCGCAGTTACACTGGTGATTTACCTTCCAGGTTGTGCAGATGTCAGAGAACGTTAAGGCCTAACTAAGAGATGCTGAGGTTCATTTGATATTTAACTACACTCACTACATAAAACACATGCAGCAATTAATATGTAAATTTTAATTTAATTTTATTTTTCGTATTTCAGCATATACCTCAGTTTTGGTAGGTTTTTGGACTATTTTTTTGATTTGTGTACAGCTTTCTCCTGAGGCTGCGCTTTCCAAAAGATGGTAGGATCTGGAATTTCTCACTGTAAATTATAATGACACTTTTGAATAAAGACCCTCCTTCCAGTTCTCAGCTCTCACTTGTAAACCTAGATCCTAATAGAAAATCCATGTCAGGCACTATAATGTTCATGTTTTTTATTGCTGGGGTTTTTTGTTGTTGTTGTTTCAGTGGATATAAAAGACCCAGGCTCTGGGCTGAGCAAATGAAGGCCATATCGCAACAGACTTCCATTTCACATACCACCTCTCAAATCACAGAACTTTTTGCCTGGGAAGATTACTGCTATAGATAGACATAGAAACTTAATTGGGATTTCCCCCTGCCCCTTAATGAGTCAGAGCATGATACATTATTTGTAGACAAAGATCATCTATATGTAGAGCTTTAATCAGCAATTTCATAGAGCATTGCCATGATATTTTTCCTTCTTTTTTTCCGTTATTTAAAGAAGTGGCTTAGGTGTTCAAGAAGGCAATGTAAAGTAATAAATGACAACTGAAAATCATCAGAGTGCAAGCAAATGCTGTAGCAGCTCCTCCCCAGTCATGCCGCTAATGCACTTCATTCATGACAATCCAGTTGCATTTATGGCTATTTATACCTGTGCCCTTACATAACTTGTCAGTATGTCACTGTCTGCTGTTCCACTTGGGAGCTCATCTGGAGATCGTCATGCAGGATAGACTTGTGATATGGTGCAGATTTTATTAAAAGACCAGGCTGGAGTCTGCAAACCTGTTGCCTCTTGTCACTTGAGTTTGGATTTTAGCTCAGGTCTCCCTAGAGATTGAAACTGAATTTGCTAGCTAATGAGTCCTGTGCATTCTGTGTTAATTTAGTGGAGCCTTGGACACAGCCAGGGTCTCTGCTGCACCGTAAATCAGGGTGGTATTGTAACAATTTTGTAGAACAGCATTGCAAACACATGCATCCACTGAGTATAGATATGGCTTCAGCTTTTTTCTGTGCCTCTGCCTGACGCTGGAGTATGGAGTTCGTGGTTCTTAAATGATTTTGACAATGTGTGTTCCTCTCTTTGTAAGGTATTGAACATGTGCCCTTAGGCCATCCGTGCCACTTGCTGAAATGTAACTGGCTTTATGAATTTTATTTCATAAAACTTTGATTTTATGGAATGAAATGCAAAGTATCAAAGTTAAGCTTAGATGATAAATCATCACTTGGCTACCATTAATGAAGCATACTGTCTTCATGATAATTTGATTCATCTGCTATCACTGTTGGAGAACAAATATTGCTCCATTTCCCTTTTCATAAAAAATTCTTACACATCAATTGGAGACAAAATAAAAAGCCTAAGTTAAAAGGTAGGGATTATTCTGCTAAAATCTGCATCCCCAGGCAATTTACATCACATAATGTGCCAGAAGTAGCTTAATTTTTCCCTCTGCGAAGGAACAGAACATTCGAACTTTATTGTCAAGGGCAAAGAGTTGCAGTTCTCAATAATCAGTATGTCTTCCCTGGTCTTCTATGGTTTTGCACTGTAATACCTTAGCAATCTGTAATAATGGCTGATACAGTTTGTAGGGAGGAAGAATCCTCCTCCATGACTACCTTCTAATATATTTATTTTTAAATATCTCTCCTCTGTTTCAGATAGGAATATGAACATTTTGCAGTACTGTCCCACTTCTGATTCCTGGACCAACTTTGAACTTTGTGATGTCCATGTTCGCAAACAACAGATGCTCTCTGTTGAAGAAACTATATATCTGGTAGGGGGTTGCATTCATGAACTTGGACCAAACCAAAAATCCAGCCAAAGTGAGGACGTGCTAACTGTGCAGTCTTACAACATTGCTACCAAAGAATGGCTCTACCTCAAAGAGAACACATCAAAATCGGGTCTTAACTTGACTTGCACTCTCCACAATGATGGAGTCTATATATTGAGTAGGGATATTACTCTATCTACAAGCTTGGAGCACCGTGTCTTTCTTAAGTATAATATATTTACGGACAGTTGGGAGTCACTAAGACGCTTTCCAGCCTTTGGACAAAACATGCTGATCTGTTCTATGTATTTGCCTGATGTGCGAGAAGTGTAACGGGATCAAGTTTTGCTTTTCAGCTCATTAGTCATTCTTGGAAGAAATATTGCTCCCTCTAAATATTCCATTCTCAGAATATAATGTGGCTTTGTAACGTAGGCATAAAATACTGATTCTGGTCTTTAAAAAAGTTGCAAAATCCAATATTAAGAGAAATGCTTCCAGAAACAGTTTTAAGATTTCAATTTAAAAAAAATTTTTTTTTAATTAAAATTTCACCAGGTATTGTTTGCAATTTAAACAAAATTATTGTGTTGGTAACTGATAAAGGAATTCCAAAGGCAAAACTGATCAGTCTAGTTTTATTCTCCATCTTAATAGACAGTGTAGAAGATAAGAATGAAGTATACATGGTAAAAGCGGAAATAAATCAATAAAGTAAATAATAAGTACAATAAAATCACAAAAGGAATTATTTCTTTTAAAATACAGTTTTTACTCCAAACTATCACATTTTTATCTCTTGTGTGGTAACAAATGAGATTCTCAAAGGTGCCAGCAATTGGGGTGCCATCAAGAAATAAGAACTTCCCCTGAATTATTTGTAATGAAATGCTTTCCCAGGGACTGGGAGGAATTGCCTAGAGGCTTATGGTTGCTGGTTGGATATTAGATGCTCCTTTAATGGAAGTTGGAAGCATTTATTGCTACCATTAAAATAGAGGTCAAAAGGTTTAAAATTCAAATGGAGAAGGTTGCTCATCTTCAGAAAGGTTTTAAGTTTTAGTTGCCTTGTATTCTGCAGTACTGAGCGTTAAAGATCAAATTATAGTTCGCAACAAGCTGCATGTTAGAAAAATGTGCATGAGCACATGCAATGGTGATTCTGCACAAGGTGCATCCTTCTTGATAACAGTCATCCAAGACATCCATCACTTGGTATGATTTGTGTAAATGACTTCCTGCCAACACCACCCAAAGTAGGTGCACATGAATGTTGGCTCTTGCTTGTGTTATCAGGAGCTCGATAGAAATTACCTCAAGTTTGCCACCCAAAGTTGTTAGTCTTTACAAAGTGCACTGTAGGATGGTCACCGTGAATAGTCCTTTGTGGGGATTCAGGAATAGATAGTCTGCAAGCTTCTCCCAGTTCCTGCCTATTGCCTGAGAGAATTGTAGTCATGGTTGGCCGATTTTCTTTTTGTAGCTGACAAGTTCATAAGTATCAGAGAGGTTGTGGAGTCTCCTTCTCTGGACATATTCAAAACCCACGTGGATGCAATCCTGTGCAACCTGCTCTAGGTGAACCTGCTTTAGCAGGGGGGTTGGACTAAATGATCCCCAGAGATCCCTTCCAACCCCTACCATTCTGTGATTCTGAGTTCTCCTGAAGGCACCTGCCCAGGTATGGAATGTGTGTCCTTGTGACAAGAAAAGGAGGTCTTGGTCACCCTGGAAGGTTTTCACTGCAGCTGCCTCTAGGGAAGAGATAACCAGATTAGACATGTCCTGAGCACATTGCAGGGTTGCTGCTTCTGCACCAGCTCTTTCTCCACATGAGAAGATGAGATTTAATTCACCTGAACATGTTCCTAATGTGAGGAGATGTCTTTTTTTCCTTCATGGGAATTCAGGAATCTGAGTATTCTTTTTGAACATTGGTTTTATAGAGGAGGAGGAGGCAGCAGTGGTTCCCTCAAGGTCCTTTTAACTCCCTGCTTTTCCATGGTTTTGAATGCAACCAGTGCTGACTAAAAGAGCTATCAGACTTGAAGTGCCTTGCCAATTACTGCTCACACATTCAGTGCTTAGGTGCATAATTTTGGTGCTTTCAATCACACATAGTAACCCAAATAGAAGATCCCAGGAAACTAATCCAGAATGAGGACATTTGGGTTTGAACACTTTTAGGATACATGTGGACATGAAACAAGGTATTTTGGATGTCCAAGATTTACCTTTTGGGTGGAATTTTTGCGGCCTGGCAGAGTATGTTATGTTTCAGCGCAAACTAGTGTCTATCATTCAGCTGTATGCATGAATTTAATTAGTTAAGTCCCTGTCTATATGTTAGTGTTTATTCATTTGAAAACACAATGCATTGAGCAGCTGCTGTGTTTTGACAGCAGCATCAGACCAAACAATGGCTCTTCTGCAATGAAGACATAAGGTGACTTTCATAAGATGCTTCATTCAGAAGTGTTTTAGAATAAATATAAGCAGTGTATAATTGTCTGGTGATAAATTATCTCAGTCACATTATGTTATTTGCTTGTCTTAATTTCTTTTCAGTTCCAGATTCAGTACCCTACAGTCATCCACAAGTCAACTCGGGTTGATACTGGTGGAGGGAGTCACATCTGAGGTGCAACATTCTCTTGCCTTGCAAATTAACTGTGAAAACCCATCACTCCCAGATTTGCAGTGTGACAGAGCTAATCAAGTCCTTTCAAACCCATTCAATTCTTACTGCAGTCATAATTCCAAAAGCTTTGACATCTTTTAGGTGTGATTACTCTTTTTCACAAGAGGCCTTTCCACACTGGCTTTATCTGCGTGTTGGTTTCACCTTCCAGTGATCAAGTGGCAACCTTGAAAGTCTGGAGAACCTGCTCAAATGTAGAAGAGAAAGATGGCTCAGACTGAAAATACAGTCAGACCCTTTTGTCAACACATGGTGCAAATTCCTTATATACTGATGTCTAACAGTACTACAATCACAAATCAAAACTGGTGTTGAATTTAGTGGTAGCGCCAGACTGTAATAATCTAAATGGACTGTATTACTACAGGCTGAAATAAATATTATTTTTTTTTAAACAAAATTCATTACAGAAAAGTATGCAATGTGGGTGGCCCCCATACCTCAGGAAAAAACCCAAACATTGTAATGACTGTCTCATGCCCTTTCCATTTTCACTTTAATATTTCACATTGGCACTGTTGGACAGCTTCTGCCCTTTGTGGCAAGGAAAACTGGTTGAGAGTCACTAACAAAGAATAATTAAAGAGCTGCTTTTTAGCCAGTGGAATGGTTCAGTGATTGAGTGTGCTCTCTTTTCTTTGGTGGTGGAAAGAAAAAGGTCCTTAACTTAAGGACAAATAAGCTTCATTTGAATGACAGGGATACAAGTGTAGACCAAGGGGCCTTGCAGTTTGATCAACTGGAAATTCCTGTGTTATCCTGATGTTGCTTCTAATATACTGTGTGGGCTTGGAGACATCACTCCACCTTTTTGCAACTTCATCCCCAAATGTAACACATGAGTAGGAATGTTCATCTTGTGGGAACACAGATGGTTTGTCTGGTGTAGTAGTGTAGTGTTTGTAAGACATCTCGAGCCTGTGAAGAAATACATATATTCTTATTGCTGTAACTGTTTACTTGGTTATTCAAACTGCTTCATGACAAGTAGCAGGATAGAAGGCAGCTAGTAATCTCATTGTGGTCTTTGCTAATTACCTTTATTTTGAACCGATGGCTATTTCCAGTCTGTTTCTTTTTTTCTTTTTATTTTTGGTCACCTAATAGCCTATAGATCATCTAAGTTTCTTAGTCTGGGTGTTCTCAAGTCTGTATCCAAATTCAAAACTGCTGTTTTCCTGCTGTGTCTGCATTATCCAGTGCTTACATATCCACTGTTCGTCATCTCTGTCTCATGGACCAATTCCACTTGATACTGACCAGCAAAAGCTGACTATGGTAGAGGATGATCCCAAGTCGAAAGAAAGAAAAACAGCATCCAAAGTCCTGAGGGAGGAGTAAATGGAAAACTCTGGGAACTTAGTCCCTTCTCATAAAATAGAGAAGCATTTAAGAAGGTTGCTCACATCAAGAATAAGAGAGAGCATAACAGTTTCTTCCTTTCTGGGAATGGTTTGTGGTTTTCAATGTGAAATAAGACTTGTGTGGGGCTTAACTTTAATCTCCCTGGCCGGTTTCCATAGGTTTCCCTTTCTGCCCTGTCAATTGACCTTTCTTGGGCTTAGTATCTGTGTTTTCCATTCTTTGAGGATTTTGCCTTTCTACATCAGTGTCCAGCCTGTTGTGCTGAAATTATATGGTAGCAGTTTCTTGGTCTTTTCTAGTTGTTAGTCTGCTTTTCACACTGATCATAGAATCATAGAATCATAGAATGGTTTGGGTTGGAAGGGACCTTAAAGATCATCTAGTTCCAACCCCCCTGCTGCGGGCAGGGACACCCTCCACTAGACCAGGTTACCCAAAGCCTTATCCAACCTGGCCTTGAACACTTCCAGGGATGGGGCATCCACAACTTCTCTGGGCAACCTGTTCCAGTGCTTCACCACCCTCACGGTGAAGAATTTGTTTCAAACATCTAATCTTAATCGACCCTCCTTCAGCTTAAACCCATTACCCCTTGTCCTGTCAATCACCAGATCTGTGACTGTCAATCACCATGATGAAAAAGTAAAATAATTTGTTATTCTGGTTGAACCTTTTCATTTATTCAATTTTGGGCTTATGGAAGAGAAGTCTATGAAGCTACAAATGTTTTGTTTCATTTAATCCTCATTTTAGTGAGAAATGATGCTACAGACATTCAGTTTGTGGAAATTGATCTGCGTCAGTAATGTGATAGAGAACGGAAAGCACAGAGTGTAATGACAACATTTAGCACGTAAAATGCTCAAAGCCGTACACAAGCAGAGATTACTCATCCCTATCATCCCTGTAAGGTAAGATACATACTTTAAATGGTGTTAAACTAGAGATGATCCTTGGAGTATCTGTCAGTATGCCCAGTGAATTTATAGGTGGTTACCAACAACCCTCCTCAGAGGGCAGAAACCATCAGCTTCTGTGGTACATTATATTGATTTTGCATTTACAATAATGACCAAAGGGTGGCTCCCCATCCCCACAATAACTCTTAGGAAACAGAACAAATGCTGTAAGATACAGAAAGTTTAAACTTTCTCTGCAATATTAGCACTGCCATTCTCAGAATATGTTTTCTATATAATCAATGTAGAGCCTATTTTGGTGTAATCTCTGTCTTTTTTTCCCCAAAAGGAGAGTGGATTTTGGAAAA